TAAATATTTGTGCATGAAATGCTACTTCAAATTTCACACCTGTATTCATCTCTTCTATGCTTATCTTTGTTTTGTAATGAATGTCTCCCACAATTTGGCTAAGTATACGGGATGCTGAGAAGAACAAGAATTTGGTAGAATATGAATCACATTTAGATGACTGACTTAGTTCTGTATCATCTCTGGGAGAGCCAGATGACTTGGTTTAAGCTGCCCATTAGCATAACCACGCTTGTATATTTATGCATGACAATGCAAAAGATCTAGTGTGTTGGCTTTGTGTTGGTTTTTGTGTGCTAGGGCTACTGTTGGTCACTGTATTCAGGGCCAGGCAGGAATTTGCCCAGAAGACATGTTGGTGCCGTCCTTTGGTTTTGCCTCCCCAGTGCTTTTTTTCTGGGGGGATGCAGGGATACGCATACCCGTAAACATTTTGTGAATCTAACGGGAGAAGAAACGAAAAATTATTAAAAAATTAGTTTATTCTCTAGCACAGTGAATTGTCAGTTCCGTTGCTACTCCTGATGGTGGCTTCCTTTCCTTTCCCGGTGTTTCCTGAGTCTCAGACGGAAGCGAGCGTTTAATGTGTGACACAGGGTGGGAATGTGGATGTGTGGTGTTTTACTGATGAAAGCAGAGGAATCAGGAAGATGTTAGTGCACACAACCTCATGCTAATGTGGAAGTTACTGACAGCTGTGTAATAGGAGGTAATGCATGTTCTTTGTACTTTTTTTTTTAAAAAAAGTTTTTATTAACAGTTTCAACATAACAAATTATCAAAACATATCATATCATTATTTTTCCCCTTCCTCCCCTTCAAACCCTCCCCCAGAGATTTCCCTCAGCTCCTCTCTCTGATTTCTCAGCACATTTTACTCTCTGCATGTTATAAAGTTATACATATCCTTACATTATCTATCTACCATGTTATCAACTAATAAATTTGTGTGTGCTTATTCAAAACCTGCCAAGGAGTCCAATTCATTTTGTTGTCTTTTTCGATAAATTGTAAAAATCTCCCATTATTCCTTAAAGTCACAGCTGTCCTTGTCCTACAATCTGTATGTCAATTTAGCCAGCTCTGTGTAGCTCTTCAGTTTGTCTTGCCACTGTTCTTTCGTTGGGATTTCCTCACATGTTCTTTGTACTTTTGTCCATTTACTGTATTTATTTTCCCTAATTTGAGCCATTAAATGGTGATTTTCTTGAGTCAAATTGAGAGTACCCCTAAACTTTTTTAAAAAAACGAAAAAAAGCACCGTGCCTTCCTCATAGCAATTGCCATGACTCTGGCAGTTAAGGCATTGGGTAAACCTTAGCCTTTGGTAGAGGGGAGGTTGCAGCCTTTTCCAGCCCCTCTAAGTTGCAGGGGTATCCTGGTAAAGGGATCCAGGAGGAATTGCTTCTGTCCGGGAGCCCAGGTGAGGGGGAGGAACATAGCACTCCTAAAGTTACATGTCCTGTGTATTCATTGTCAGTGGTCCTGGGAGGTGGGGGCACCTGGCTCACACAACGCAAAATATCTAGTGTCTTGTAAGCCTGGACAGTGTGTATGGAAGTCCTGGGCTGCCCAGATGACAAGCCACCTTCTCGACCTTGGTGATGTGGTCCAAAGGAAAGCACAGCAATACATTTGGCACCAGCCAAATACAGGGGTCACTGAAAGGAGGCTTACAAGACGCCATCCAACAGCTTTAGGGCTTCCACTCTGGATTTGTGCAGGGTTTACTCCTTAGCCACTTCTTATCCATATTTCTCAGACACATGGAAGCAGCTTTGCACATCTGACAACACCATGCAGTGACTCATGGAACAGCCTCTAGCCCTGCTTTCCAAAGTATTATGTTATAAGTCCAGTTGTGGCAGATGGCTCTCACACCAGGGGGCATAGAACAACATTTACTTATTTGGCAAATCGTTAGATGCCCACATTTCCCTTCTCATACTTTTGTCTACAAATGGCTGAGTGCAGTGCAAAAAAAGCAGCGCACACTGGCAATTTCATTGTTAATGCAAATAGAACTCTGGAGACGATGAGAGAAACATCAGCTTCAGAGAGAATAATTGGCTCACTGTAGGGAGTTTGTGGATCTTAAATTGTTCTTTGCCTTCATCTTCAGTGGCCGTATGGTCCTGTTGGTAAATGCACACTGCCCCAATTTACTGGGAAAAGCACATACTTTGCATTTTATAATTGTACTTGAACCTGTCCCTGAAAGGAAATTGTCAAATGGGGGGAAAATTAGCATCTCAATCATGGATGAATATCAGCAAGTTAAAGAACAAGGAGCTTCAGAATTCATCAGGAGCACACAAGTTGGCTGCACAGAAATGATCAAATTGAATTGATGCACAAAAAAATCCACTTTTAAGAAGCATTCATGGGTAAAATATTATGTGACTTACATACAAAACGCATAATGTCTCTTGCAGAGCGATGCATTATAAAAATGCAGCTCAGATCTGTTTTGCAAGTGTGATGATACAGAAGTAGATAACCAGAGCAAATTGTTTTTGTTTTCTAATAGTTTGCTCAGTTCAGTGAGGATATAAGCAGAAGAGAACCCCGGTTTCCAAACTGAACTGGAACACATTACAGTGGTACCTCAGGTTACAGATGCTTCAGGTTACAGACTCCGCTAATCCAGAAATAGTACCTCGAGTTAAGAACTTTACTTCAGGCTGAGAACAGAAATTGTGTGGTGGGGGCACAGCGGCAGTGGGAGGCCCCATTAGTTAAAGTGGTACTTCAGGTTAAAAACAGTATCAGGTTAAGAACAGACCTCCCGAACGAATTATGTTCTTAACCCGAGGTACCACTGTAGTCTTCTGTGAACGAAATCAGGTGCCCAAAGACTTTTTCTGATACTGCTGGCCAATCTCTGCAGCTGTAACTTTACAAAGATATAGTGGAGTAATACAGTAGATTATACCAGCGTTAATTGGTCTGTTTCTTTCAAAAGGAACTGTGATTGAAGATAGGAAACATTTAATGCACATATTTTTCACAAGGTGTTTAAACAATAAAGCTTTCACAACATTTAGAACTATGAAGCTATTAATAGCGATAATAAATGCATCTCTTTAAGTTGCATAAATCTTTTTAAAAATGCAAATACCAGGTACATGGTTTCCCGTCCAGGATTAGGACCCTGTAGGGTGTAGAGGCACATTTTAACCATTTCTTTTTCTACTGTGTCCTGCCCTGTCCCCAGCTATTATGGCCTGTATTACTAAGATGTGGATTGGTCCCTCCCAGATCTGCCTTCCACGAGCAAGTGGGGTGCCATGATGCTGCAATTTGACTGCCAGTGCGGAGGCTTGTGCCTTGTGTTAAGCACTCGGGATACATTAGCGATCCAGCTAGTCTACCATCAGTCTCAGATTTACTGTTGAAGACCTCCAGGATGGTTGTTCCAGGAATCTGCAGCACCAAGGCCAAAACTGGATGGCCCAGTCCAGGCAGCTCAGGACTCCCATAATAACCAAAATGGCTCTCCAAGCATGTTGTTGACCCAGCACATCGTAACAGGACCTCAAGTGGCCAGGAAGACAGTGGCTTGAAAATGGGTTGTTGTTTTTTACATCTGCTTCCTTGCTGTGGTCAGATATTTCCTCTTGAATTCTAAGCTTATAGCAACTTTCACCCACTGCAGACCATTCTACTGCTGATTTGCAGGATGATTTCTAGGTGACTACTTTGCATAAATACCCCATAAGGTTCTGTTTTATCTCCCATATTTGTTTTTTGGCAACTCCACGTGAATTCTGAGCGAGGCCACTTGGATATTATGAGTGAGATGTTGTAGATATGTGAAAGACACCCAGCTCTGCTTCTTTTCATCTAATGCAAGTAGAGGGAGTGCTCAGGTACTGTGTGGAAGCAGTATTGGGCCAGAAGAGGACCAATAAACTGAAGATCAGTCTGGACAACAGAGATGCTGCTAGTTCATTTGCCTGGGCAAGTGGTGTTCAATCTGTTCAACCCCTAAAGGATCAGGTTTGCAGTCTGGGGATGCTCAGTGGTCTGTCTTTGTAACTGGAGGGTCAACTAGCCACTGTAACTAGATATCTGCTTGACCTGATATGCTAAGTACAACCTTACTTAGACAGAGAAAGTAGCCCTGTTCACAGTTTCATGCATAAGATCCCCATGTTTTCTTGGATCAGGGCTGCACTTTTAGCCTCATTCTCAGACATCATGGGTGGCATTCAGCTAAGTTGTACTTAGAGTAGGCTCATTGAAATAAAGGAGCATGACCAAGTTATGTCCAAATATTATCAGCCCCCTGCCATGTGACAAAGACACATGAGAGCAGAAGCAGCAAAGCAGGCTGGGACTGCACAATCATTTGGGCCTACTAAAGTTATTCTGGCCTAACTGCTAAGTGTTGAGTCACTCTGACATGTGACTGAGTAGCCAGTTTCTCTTTTGTGCTCTCTGTAAGATGTCAGTGAGAGTCTGTCTGCCCATAGCTGTCAAGCGTCCCTTATTTGGCGGGACAGTCCCTTATCCCAGCGCCATGTCCCGCTGCTATTCCTTATGGATGATGTCCCTTAAATAAGCTACTGAAGGTAATGGGGCCCTTTCTATGTCCAGCTGTCCTTTGTCAACAACAAATTGTTGCTGGTTTTTTGTGTTGAATATATGCTATATGGTAATTTATGGACCTAATAGGTACCTAAAGCCATTTGCACTCAACAAAATATGTATTTTATCAAAGTAATTGTTGATCCCTTATTTTGGCTGCTGATCCCTTATTTTCGAGGCTGCTGGTCCCTTATTTTCAAATCTGTAAGTTGACAGCTATGTGTCTGCCTCAGCTGTGAACAAAGTCTGCATGTAATCTCAGTCAAACTGTTTGGAACCATGTTGTTTATGAAGAAGTTTATTTTAACTCAGTAAAGCTTTTATTCTTTAAAACTCTGCATTATTAATTTATGCTGCATGTCACCCCCAACCCAACATGACCAGTAATCAGGGAGAATCAGCAACATATGAAGGGTACCACATCAGCTATCCCTGCTAGAGAGCATCTTTTCAATATCGTAAGTAAATAAATGTACTGAGAAGGGAAACCACTGGTTCAAATAAACTGTTTGGCAGGGCCTTTTTCTTTGGGATCACAGCAGGATGAGAAAAGGTTAAAGAATTCTGAGATTGATTTCCCCAAACCCCACCCCGTTGCTGCTATTTGCATTTCTAAAATGTCTTCAAGATGCACCTTGAAAGGATCTGTTTCTTTGTTAAACGATAGCTCTGGCAATAGCAGAGAAATTGGTGGTGGCATGTTCAGCTTCTTCCTTCCCATTGCGTGCAGTGCAGGCTTCAGTAGCCCACTCCTGGCAACACTCTGTCTTCATAGATTAATAATGGGATCTTGTTTAATAATCAGTCCAAATCAGTCATGTTTTATTTCCTCCCCGGAGGACCAATTGCTTATCTCATCAAAAGGAGGGTGATTCTCCTTCTCTCTCTTTCTGTCAGATGATATGATCATTATCTGGACACACACTACATCAGCAAAGAGCGCTGAGCTCCTAGCCTCGCTGGTGGTGTAGAGATTCAAAATTCATGTTTATCATATGTGGGAAGATTAATGCACTAACTAGCTTCAAGCACTGCATTAGCACTAAAGTCCATTAATTCTAATTATGTTTTGCATATAGAGAATATTAAAATGTTTAAATTAATAAAGGAGAAGGGCCAGCCTTTTGGCTCAGCTGCTGAATGCTAATGCAGTCTGCGGTGCAGGAGGTGATCTGTGTTGTGCAAAGAGGACTCCCCAGGCCTGTGGAGAACGAGTACACAAATCCTTCTGGAGGATATGTGCCAGCCGCCGTCCTCTCACAGCATCTCCCTTCATTAAGTCATCAAGTACCATTTAGATGTACTTCAGAGGAGGGCAGCGAGCTTGGAGAATAAATTGATGTGGAGCTTAATTCTCCCTCATTTTTTAAAAAGAGAGTGGCCTGTGTCCAAGCCTTGTTTGAGACTCCCTTTGACTTCTTGTTGTTGAGTCTCAGCAAATATTCAGACAGGGCATTCTCTGGTTGCATCGAAGTATACCGTGGTGCCTTGGTTTGCGAACTTAATCCGTTCCGAAAGTCCGTTCTTAAACCAAAGCATTCTTAAACCAAGGTGTGCTTTCCCATAGCAGCTGGGGACTCAATTTACAATTGGAACACACTCAACATGTTCTGCTTCCAAGGCAAAGTTCACAAACCAAAACACGTACTTCTGAGTTTGCAACATTCTTAATCCAAGTTGTTCATAAAGTAAGCTGTTCTTAAACCAAGGTACCACTGTAATATCACTTGAGCTTTAATGCAGATTTTCAGGCAGATTTCCTCATGCTGCCCTTTATATAAGAAAATGTGTTGGTCCACCAAAGAAGGGAACCAAAACACTTTTATAGCACAAACGAAACTCTTGTTTGGCACTTGATTATATATTTTTGTGTCCAGAGAGTTGTGGCTATGTGTATCATAGGTTAAACTCAGGGTAATCTCAGTTTCTGACCATGCTGTGGTAGCTTGGGAGCTCTAGGCGGCAATTCCAACCCAGTTGGAAACCCAACTGGACCTTCTGCATGAAGTACAGTGGTCAGGTCATCTCTGTCCAAAAAGAGACGTTGATGGTGAACCAGCTGGAGCTGAAAAACGGCACTCCATTCCATCAAGGTCACCTGAGCCTCCAGTGACAGATATGAATCCAGAAGCAAACCCAGACTGCAAGCCTGCTCCTCAGACGTGAGAACCTGGGAAACATACTGTAATATCTCATAATCCTTTTACAGGATTCACTTCCAGTTTATTAGTAAAGTTATGCATGGTGTGAGGGCTTGAAGGGGAGGGGGATTTTAGGGTCCAGTTACGTGAGTTAATACAGGAGCAAATCTGGGTGAAATCCCCTTTTGGACTGAATTCAGGAGTCAATCCTCAAATTGCTCCTTCAGTTGTACTGTACACTGATGAAGTTCTTCTGTATGAAGAGGACCTTGTCCGCACCCTGCTGGCATGGATGTTGGGAAAGGGGAATGTTCTTCACATGTAGTGAGAATGTGTCAGAATAAACCAATTCTAGGCTTAAGTATTTGAATCAGGTTCTGGTTTCATTAGCCAGCTTTTGATCCCAGACTCCATGTTGGCATTGGACTTGGCTGAAAGCAAACAGAACCCCTGGGTGTGCCATTTTTGCTCTCAGCTGCTCAGATGGAGGTGGCCATGGGCCAAAGATGGAGGAAGGGCAGTGGGCCAAAGTATCACAAATAGCTCTCTTGTTACACTTGACTTTTCACAGTAAAGTAATAAGAGGTGTAGTTAAACACAATTTGATTCTCTGCAGTGCACCTCCTGTCAGCCCACGAGGACACACGCCATGCTATGGAGCTCTTCGGAAGCTAATTACAGTACCGATATGAAAATTATATACTTGGTCATTTCTATTTCTGTCAAAGCTGGAAGTCTTGATAAGATTGCTCTATTTGTGAGTTGCCATCAGCAATGGCATGTTTTTGTTGTTTGTTTCCTTCATGTTTTGAAAAATCTAATGAAATTAGTTGTCCCATTGATTGGCTTTTAATGGAAGGTTTTGTTGCATGCCTCGAGAGTTACTGTAGCAGAGAACATGGCTAACAATTCAAAAAAAGGAAAAAGGAAACCTAACCATCAAATTAACTAGTGGCTGTATTGTTAGGTTTTGAATACATTTATTCTACAACATTGCCCCCTCAGTTCTAAGTCCACTGTGAAAAGAACATTTTTTAAAAAATAAATAAATAAGAAAACATGTACTATGAAGTACCGTATTTTTTGCTCTATAAGACTCACTTTTCCCCTCCTAAAAAGCAAGGGGAAATGTGTGTGCGTCTAATGGAGTGAATGCAGGCTGCGCAGCTATCCCAGAAGTCAGAACAGCAAGAGAGATTGCTGCTTTCACTGCGCAGTGATCCCTCTTGCTGTTCTGGCTTCTGAGATTCAGAATATTTTTTTTCTTGTTTTCCTCCTCCAAAAAGTAGGTGCGTCTTGTCGTCTGGTGCGTCTTATAGAGCAAAAAATATGGTATTCATTACGATACACTAGTCTTTAACCTTCCCCTTGGATGAGACCTTTCCCTCCCTAAACTTCTTCTGTCATCTGTCCTCATTCCCCACTCCCCCCCCCCAAGATGTTTGAAAAAAGAGGGCAAAGGACTGGATCCTCCTATTTTTCTGTCCTCACAATCTTGGAGGATTTATCGCTGCCTTACGGTCCTGCCTGTCATACAAGCTGCTTCCATGGTTGATGTTGAAAGAAATAGCATTGCTTGCTGTGAGATAGACCTGTGAGACATATGCAGCTGATTTACAGTTTGAGGTTGGACTTTATTATATACTCCCTGTCACGGATACAGCCATTTGTCCTCTGAGCAAATGACTTTTCTCCCATGATACTATGCATATTTTTGTCTTCCCTGTCTTTTAAACCTCAGAATTCATCTATTCATTCCCTTTCTCATACAGTTTGCCCATCTGTCTCCCACTGTCCTTCTGCACGTTCCGTTTTTGCTGCATTCGTGGTAGAATGAAGGAATATCTAGTTTAACGAAAACTTACTTTGATAAATAGCAATAATGTACAATGCTGTGCAGGTAGGGGTCTAGATCCACAGATCTTAATCTTGAAATTTGCCACTCTATCTTTTGCAAAGTAATGGGGTGGGGGGAGGAGTTTCACAACATTTATCCAAAGAGAGGAGAAATAATCCAGCTGTTTAATGGAGTACAATTCACAGGATGAGCAAGGTAAACCATCAGCCTGTTGTTTTGAAACACCATTGTGTTACTAATGTTATGGGGGGGGGGTGTTGCAAGCTGCCACATGTTAGAAACTGTCAAAAATTTAAATTACATTCTAATGTAAACATGTTGAAAAGAATGAAAGGAAATGGAAAGTGTAGCATTTCTTGTTTTCCATAATTCCACAGAAATCTCCTTGCAGTTTCTAACCGTTGAAGTTTGGTCGGCCTTAGGGACCAAGACAAGCCCTGCCTTGTGGAACTCCTTGCCAGGTTTGGCAGGAGTTATCCCTGTCTTCTTGTGGATAGTTCCTAACAATGTTATTATTTAGACATGCCTTTGAAATGTGCATTATTATTATTTTGTTGCCAAGCAGGTTTTATGAATGCCGTTACTGATGTCTTTACTGGAGTTTTACTGCTGTTGCTAATTTTGTTCTCTGTACACCTGCCTTGTTGTATTTTTACGAAAGTGCAGTTTATACATATATTTAAACAAACAAACAAACTCAGAGGTGAGTTTTAATTTGCTGCTTGTCGCTGTTTGCTCTGGGAAATACCTCCCCCCCTTCCTCCTAGTGATAGGGACACAATATTAGTTATTAGTTAGTTAGTTAGTTAGTTAGTTTGTTTGTTTCATTTATGAATCACTCCTTATGAAGCATCTCAAAGTAATTCCAACATAAAATAAAATAAAAACCCAAACCAATTTCACATACGCAAACTATTTCAAATCCAATACAGATACGGACCGGGCTAAAAATGTCCACTTTGAAGGTTTGTTGAAAATATTGTTTTCTGAGAAGATTTAGTCAAGCCATGGTGAAATTAAACAGAAACTGTATCCTGGGAGAAGACAACACATTTTGTTTCTATGGCATTTCATGAGGAACTCAATGCGGAAATGTATTTATGATGAAAGGAAGTAGCTGTACGTATCCACCCTGAAACATTTCTGCAGTATGCTGCTGTCATGTAAAATAGGGACTTGCACCTGTGAATGGGCCATGACAGATCAAATGTTGCACAATGAACTTTTATAGTACCTCATAAATGCAGTGTGTTTCAATAGTTGTAAATTATCAACTGTAGAGTGACACTCGGGGTTGCAGATGTTCCCACATGTGTTCAGAGAACATACAATGAGTGTTCTGAGATAAATAGACTAGGGCTGTCTACCACTGGTGTGCTCCTTGAGTGTACATCGAGACATCAGGGACACGGGTAGCGCTGTGGTCTAAACCACTGAGCCCCTTGGGCTTGCCGATCGGAAGGTTGGCGGTTTGAATCCCCACAATGGGGTGAGCTCATGTTGCTCTGTCCCAACTTCTGCCAACCTAGCAGTTCGAAAGCATGCCAGTACCAGTAGATAAATAGGTACCGCTGCGGCGAGAAGGTAAATGGCATTTCCGTGTGCTCTGGTTTTGATCCCGTTGTGCCAGAAGCGGTTTAGTCATGCTGGCCTCATGATGTGGAAAGCTGTCTGTGGACAAACACCGGCTCCCTTGGCCTGAAAGCGAGATGAGTGCCACAACCCCATAGTCGCCTTTGACTGAACTTAACTGTCCAGGGGTCCTTTACCTTTTCCGTGTTCAGACCTTTAAACCTACCCCTTAAATAAATTCAGACAAGACTCAATTTTTGGTTTGGTTTTTGGCAGAATTTAGGCCACAACTTTATTGATTACAGCAAGTGAGTGGTTGCATAGGCTGTGGTTGGACTAGCTCCTTGCACCGTTGCAGGTAGCGCTGACCCAGGGCACCAGCATAGGTCAGCCTAGGGTGAACACCTGGATAAGTGGAAAGTTGGGAACAGGCTATCTCTGCCACCCAAATGCCCCCCTGGACTCAGGCATGGGCACAACCCCCTCACAGGGGCTGACCAAACAAGTCCCTGGATTCCTTTAATGGAATACCCTTTACATAGGGATGGCGAGAGCATTCTCCCATCCCTATCACCTGAACCAGAGCCTATCTGCAACCTTACAAGTTGTGACGATTTGCTACACGGCAGGCGAAACCCAAATGGCAACAGCCAATCAGCCAAGTGGGGAAAATTCCTGCTATGCCCCTGTCCCAACGACAGACAACACATGATGGCATAGCAAGGTCAAGCGCTCAAGCCCTAAAAGTAGGGAGAGGTGGGCAGGTGTTCTGAATGCACACACCGAAAGAGGAAGCTCAGGGTCACGTGCATAGATATATATAGGTCCCTTGATCCATTTAGCCTGCATCCCATTGGCCTGATTAAACCCTGCATCAAGGGACCTACCAATTGGGTGTTGTGGCTAACCAATCTTACCCACCTATAACGCAGGGTTTGGTTGCCAAGTCTCACCACAACACATGCCCTCTTTAAGGGAGGACCCGATTTACATCGAGCACATGGAAGCAAGGAGGAAATAGCTGCCTAGCACATCAGTGGGGATGTACCTACAGGACCTGACCAGATGATGCACAGAGATGTGTATATTCACCTTAAGTATACCACTACCAACAAAAAAATACTGTTACATGCTGTGTTTTGTTTTTTTGTCTTCATAGCATCAGTGGAAATTTATATCTTAAACTCTTCCATTTTTGCTCTCTTCATTTCCAGCCAAATGGAACAAGATATTCCTGGTGTGTCCTATTCAGAAGTGCCCCAGAGAGAAACGCAGTGGCAGCTGTTCAGCTCATCTGCATATTCAAGCCAGGAATCTGGAACACTATTAGAAGGACTGCTACACATACCAGTAAAAAATGCCGGTGTGAGAGAAGCAAATGATGGAGCGAACATGGGAGATGGGAGAAAGGAGCATGATGAAATTCAACAGGATAGCGTGATTTAGAAGGTGATTGAAGCCAATGCATGAAACAAAATCCCGTATCAATTATATTTTCATATTTTAAGTACAATATTCTCAGAAATCTATAGTAAATCCAAATGTGAAACAGACACTTTTCCTCCCAAAAACGCAATCTTGAATTACAAACTTTAAGCTTCTGCTTAACATTCCAACACTTGGGGAGAAGAAACCTTCCTAATTTACTTTATCTCTTCAAAAACCGTTTTGATGTGGTTGTTGCTTTATAACAAGCAGTGTATAAATTTCACAAAATAATTAAAATAATTTGGTATTGATGTATTTTCTCTTCTTCCTTTAAATGACCACCCCACTCACCCTTAAAAATGCTCTCCATGATGGTGACAACACACCTCTTTTCCTTCACATTTTCTCCTCAAATAAAATTCCTTTGTGAATTCCTTGTCTAAGCACATCTACTCAGAAATAGATCCTGCTGAATTCAGTGGAGTTTACTCTCAGGTAAATAGAATTGCAGTGTTAATACCCGTTTCACAGTTATCTGAAAGCTTGAACCTTTAAATTTAACAGGACTTACTTCTGAGTAAATCCCAGCTATCATGGCTATTAGACAAGGATTATGGGAGCTGACTACATAACAGCTGAACAACATTAAGAAAAGGAAAAGAAAGTAAGCTCTTACAATTCAGAGAGAAGTAAGGGGATAGAGAGAAAGTCTAGAACACTTTTCCCCAGCCCGTGCACTACTTTTCATGAAGATGGGACAGTTTTTGGGTCTAGAGTTTTGAAATGGAAAAGGGATTTGTGTTAGTTCTGGTGCTACTATCACTGTATTTTGTCTCACTGCTTATTTAACTTATATGCAGAATTCATCATGCGAAAGGCTGGGCTGGATGAATCCCTAGCCGGAATTAAGATTGTCGGAAGAAATATCAACAACCTCAGATATGCAGATGACACAACCTTGATGGCAGAAAGTGAGGCAGAATTAAAGAACCTTTTAATGAGGGTGAAAGAGAAGAGCGCAAAATATGGTCTGAAGCTCAACATCAAAAAAACGAAGATCATGGCCACTGGGCCCGTCACCTCCTGGCAAATAGAAGGGGAAGAAATGGAGGCAGTGAGAGATTTTACTTTCTTGGGCTCCATGATCACTGCAGATGGTGACAGCAGCCATGAAATTAAAAGACGCCTGCTTCTTGGGAGAAAAGCAATGATAAACCTAGACAGCATCTTAAAAAGTAGAGACATCACCTTGCCAACAAAGGTCCGTATAGTAAAAGCTATGGTTTTCCCAGTAGTGATGTATGGAAGTGAGAGCTGGACCATAAAGAAGGCTGATCGCCGAAGAATTGATGCTTTTGAATTATGGTGCTGGAGGAGACTCTTGAGAGTCCCATGGACTGCAAGAAGATCAAACCTATCCATTCTGAAGGAAATCAGCCCTGAGTGCTCACTGGAAGGACAGATCCTGAAGCTGAGGCTCCAATACTTTGGCCACCTCATGAGAAGAGAAGACTCCCTGGAAAAGACCCTGATGTTGGGAAAGATGGAGGGCACAAGGAGAAGGGGACGACAGAGGACGAGATCGTTGGACAGTGTTCTCGAAGCTACCAACATGAGTCTGACCAAACTGCGGGAGGCAGTGGAAGACAGAAGTGCCTGGTGTGCTCTGGTCCATGGGGTCATGAAGAGTCGGACATGACTAAACGACTAAACAACAACAACAACATCACTGAAGGAAGAAACAATGACCAAGAAGAGTCATGATGCGGCCGAATATATCAGACCCTGATTTGAAGTAACCATCCAAAACTTCAGCTCCAAGTTTCAAGTCTATGCATCTTCAAGGACATTAGAAAATACATCCCAATTTGATTTCCCCATTTCTCATTGTGCTTGTGGTGTAGTTAATGGATATTTCAACTTCTTATATATACACCCACACCAACACATATTCAGTTTTCTGGTTCACTGAAAAGCCTTTCCACTGAGCATTTTTATTTCCTTTTTATGTTCTCCTTTCTGATATCTTGAACCTCCTCTCTTCTCTGCTATCATCCATGCAGACTGTTAGACTCAGGCAGAACGAATATCTGAATAACTGAATTATAGCCTTGCCAAAAATAGTGATAGAAAAGATAAGTCTATCTCTCTGAATCAATCTTGATTTTAAAATTGATATATACTTCTCCATAGTTCCTTTTGTGTTGGTGAAAGGGAGGACGGAGGAAGGAGCAAGGCCGGCACACAACAGCCTCTAGGATTAAAAAATCCACAAGGGTGGAACCAAGTACAAAACACAGAACCAGAAACAAGAACAAATCTCCTGGCTCTGTCAGACCCAAGAGTCAGAGAATGATGTTGGCTGCTAGATCAAAGGGACACTTGGCTCTGTAATAACAAGGACCCAATTAGAAAGTAGCTCGGCAGCTCCCACTGCATTAATGTAATTTGGACTCCATATGAAAAACTGAATTTGAATCTAATGTCACAATTACCCATCAAGGATTTTCTCTGTTTTGTTTTATTTGAATTCTGGGCCTTTTGTGCTCTGTTTATGTCTGGGGTTTAATACTGCAGATTGTTTCCTTAAGTCCTGGGACTTTGGGTAACGATTTCCTTTTCCTTTTCATGCTTGTGTTATTAACCAATCTAATACCTTTATTGGAAAAGTTTCTGCTTGACATTTTGTGTTTGACTGACTTTTGTTTGTTGCCAATTGTCATAAGGCAAGGACTGCAACACATGCCGGTAGCAGCATATGCCTTTTTGGGCTCTGAATAGGGTTCTCATACAGAAAAAAATAATAATAATTCAAAAATCAAATGATCCATAACATATTATGTTGTCATTTAAAAAACAGCATCAAAACAGCAACATTTTTCATGCTCATAATAAATTTTGTTCCCCAAGGCTCAATCTAACATTTTCTGCCCATGTTTGGAAATATAATGAGGAAAACATTTATTCTATTAATTGGCTCAGCTATTTTTGTTTGGAACGCTAATGATTTTCGCGGCATACGGGCTTCAAGTCCTAGCTCTGCAAAGACTTTGATATTTATTGCTGTGTGGTTCTTTCTTTCACCACGTAGAAGTGGTCTGTGTTGTTTTCCTCCATCATTCTGCCTCCTCAATTATTTACAGCACTAACAAACACTTCTCTTCAAGGACAAAACTAACAGGAGAGCTGGGTTGGGGCTATTACCCAGAGAAGGGAGGGTTAACTGTCTTCTCAATGGTTAGATGCAAGTATCCACCATCCCACAACCTCAAATTGACCTAAGGTACTTCAATGCAGATTCCAGATTTTGCTTCAAGAGCTTAATCAAAGCAAAATATTTCACATCTCTTCCTTCATAAGGAAAGGAAAAAATGAGTTCAGCTTTTAAGATTCAGACACAGTCTTCTTTTGGATTTATAAGCAAATTAAACAAAAAACAAAAATCTCAAAGCAGGTTAAAGGTAAAGGGACCCCTGACCGTTAAGTCCAGTCGCAGATGACTCTGGGGTTGCTGCGCTCATCTTGCTTTACTGGCCGAGGGAGCCAGCATTTGTCCGCAGACAGTTTTTCCGGGTCATGTGGCCAGCATGACTAAGCTGCTTCTGGCGAACCAGAGCAGTGCATGGAAACACTGTTTACCTTCCCACAGGAGCAGTACCTATTTATCTACTTGCACTTTGACATGCTTTCAAACTGCTACGTTGGCAGGAGCTGGAACTGAGCAATGGGAGCTCACCCCGTCGCAGGGATTTGAACCACCGACCTTCTGATCGGCAAGTCCTAGGCTCTGTGGTTTAGACCACAGCACCACCCACGTCCTGGGCAAAGCAGGTTACATAGTAGTATAACATAATCAAAAAGAGCAGTAACAACAGACTTGAAAAACAGCAGACAATAAAATTATTGTTGGTCACTGCTAATTTGTAGATGGCACCAGGATTTTTATGGAGCATAACCACTTTCAAGAAGTCAGTTTGTGAGGCAAAGTGTGATCTCTGGTGCCCCATCATGCCATCTGCCATTCTGCAGTTGCCTCTTATAGAAGCTCTGTGAAATGCAGGAGATTATGGGGCACATAGACTACACAAAACACTAGCCAGGCTTCAGTGTTGCCCCATATTAACTGGGTACATGCCCTACAGCAGCCTTCTAGCAGGGGAAACTTAGTAATGGTGAAGAATTTGTCTTTCAGCAAAGCCTCTTCTCCATTACTGATCTTCTCCCTGAGGAACCCCTTGCTAGGCTTCTGAGTAATCCTAGGGATTATTCAAACACAGTTTAAAAACCACTAGTTAAAAAATAATCAAAATTTAACAGCTTTGATTTGCATGATTCTTTTGTATTTTTATTCCATCTAGTACAGGTATCTTGTACTTTGAACTAATTCTGAGATTGTGCGCTGATTTCTTAAAACCTTTTTGGTTTACTCAAGGTTAGTACTGCATCTGGGGTAGGGGGATGGAGAGATCCAGCACACATGGCAGGTTATGGCTATCTCCTGATGTGATCATAAATATGTTTATTTGCTTTTTTATTGTTTTAATTGTTCTAATGCTACCATATTAACACATTCTCAGGGTGAGTTGCTTAATTGGAAGGAAGAGCCATCCTATACAAGAGGAATAGGCAGGGGTCCTGGGACTGGGACTATTCCACTTCAGACTGTGGACAGAGGATTGCATTTGCATGCTCCATCATTAAGAAAGAAGGGGGGAAATATATTGTGCATAGAGAAATCTGGCCCATCAAGGAGAAAACAAACCAGATCATTTTCCCTGTTAGGCTATCCCATATTGGGCTAACTCTCATGGGCACAGATTTTTGCGAATGCCACTTTTGGCACTAGAGTCCCATAGGAAAAATGAATGTTGGCATCCACTCTATGTATGTGCCTGAAGGACTTTAAAGAGGGGAAAGGAAATTAAACACAGCTGC